TCTACTCTACTCTACTCTACTCTACTCTACTCTACTCTACTCTACTCTATTCTAATCCTACTGTATATTCTATTGTATTCCAATTTCTACTCTCCTCTACTCCACCCCATTCTATTCTAATGTTTAAAAGTCCTTGATCTGTATGGGTTCCCTGTTCTTCATTCCTTTATCCTCCCTACCCCATAGGGCTCCCCATGAATGTATTAAGGTTCAAAAATGTTTGGAGAGCGATAAAATATCTCAAATTTGTATGCTTGAATGCCTGTCAAAACTTCCCTAAATTTTCCTTGATCCGAGAATTGCTTTTAGGTTTTTGGATAACTTGCTGAGGAGAAACCATAGTTCAAAACATAATGGGTGAAGTCAAGTTAGAAATTCAACTGGATGAATTTAATGAGAAATAAATATGGCTAATGGGATTATTTTTCATTGGATTTAACATTCTTCTTGTCTATCACAATAAAATTGCACTATAAGACAAACTTTTGGCAGTCCTTCAGGAACCCACCAAAGGAGTTTCAAGTTGTCTTCTTCTGTTTCATAGCTGTTGACAATATTTGGAATATGAGCGCTTGTAGGCCCATAATTTCTGAAGGCATGGCATAACTGGACTTCCACATTATTTATGACATCATTTCAATTTATGGCACTGAGATTAACCCTGCAAGGGCCCGTATGCAACGGTGAAAGGAAAACAGTTCTGAAGCTACCTTTTGATACTTTCTGAATGGGTTTCCTTATTTATTCTGCTGAAATGCCTTGTTCATCAACAAACCCCAAGGTAAATTAGGAAAGAAAAGGAAACTGTTCTGGTAAGTAAATTATATGGCTTTAAAATTCATTTCCATGTTATGTTAGTGCATACAGGGCACATATTCAAAATGACAGCCCTGGGAATAAATGCCGACTGAGATTGTAGCTCTAAATTTTGTGCTGAGCTGGGCCTGTTCCAACTATAAATTATAAAATTGCCCAGTTTTGGGGTGTTTTTAAAGGGAAAGTTCCAAAGATGTTTTTCTTACTGGTTCTTCCCCAGCTCGCAGTCCATAGTTTTCTTCCAGATTAAACTCTGCAGTTCCATATCATCCTTGCATCCGAAAAGGCATATTACTATTTTAACTATTATTTAATTAGATGAATTATGATATATTTATAATCAGATCAGATCTTGACAGTAGGAAATGACCCCACTTGCAATTCCCTGAATGCCAAAGCAGACGGAAGGAATGCTTTTATAGGTAGTCCTTGAATTGTGACACTTTCATGAGCTTTCAAAGGTCTCCTCAGAAGCTGGAGGATTGACAGCTCCTCATGCTTAGACCCATCTTCTGAATTTCCTACTAATACTACTACTCCATGGTCACATCAAGGAAGAGGTAGCTGTCACAACCTGCAGTGGCTGGTCAGCGTTCTTAAATTCATGTTCCTCGCCATAAAATAGAACCACCCTCAACGAAAAGTGAAAAAACCTAGACAACCTACAACTACACGGCTTTCAGTCCGATCTAAATATAGTATGTAAAATCATACATTGCAATGTCCTGCCTGTCAATGAATACTTCAGCTTCAACCATAACAACACAAGAGCAAACAATAGATACACACTCAAGGTTAACCGCACCAAACTTGATTGCAGGAAATACGACTTCAGCAATAGAGTGGTCAATGCCTGGAATACTCTACCTGACTCGGTGGTTTCTTCCCCAAACCCCCAAAACTTTAACCTTAGAGTGTCTACTATTGACCTCACCCCTTTCCTAAGAGGCCTGTAGAAGACGTGCATAAGCACACCAACGTGCCTACCATCCCTGTCCTATTGTTTCTTTTTATTTTTCTCATATGTATCCATTTCACATATTCATAACTATGTTTATACTTATACCTATTATCTTGTAAGCGATTGACAAAGCAAATAAATAAAAAATAAATTCTGAGCCCAGGAAGCAACTGAAGGAAGAGCCGATTGGAAAGGAGAACATCAAGAGAGGAAAGTCTGCAGAAGTGGCCTTTCTCACAACGATCAGCAGCAACAACGATGACTAGAGAACTGGAGGCTGAAACGAAGGATGAACGGTTGAGGGAAGTGGGGATGTCAAGTCTAATGGTGTTCCAAGCAGTGTTCCAAGATTGAAGAGGCTCCCACAGAGAAGAGGGGAATCAACCTCTTCTCCAAAGCACCTGAAGGCAGGACAAGAAGCAACGGATGGAAACTGATCAAGGAGAGAAGCAACCTAGAACTCAGGAGAAATGTCCTGAGAATGAGAACAATTAACCAGTGGAACAGCTTGCCTGCAGAAGTTGTGAATGCTCCAACACTGGAAGTTTTTAAGAAGAGACTAGACAGCCACTTATCTGAAGGGGTATAGGGTCTCCTGTTTAAGCAGGGGGTTGGACTAGAAGACCACCAAAGTCCCTTCCATCTCTCTGATTCTCTTATTCAAACAACCCTATGACATTTGGGCATTCACAAAACCGTTGCCAAGAATGACCAGGTTCAACCATGACAGATAAGGTCCATTTGCAAGAAGGTCCACAATTCAATTTCCACCCAGCAATCTGCTACAACACCCGAGGACACTCTCAATGGGTAGAGAATAAGTTGGGAGAGGAAGTATTTAAATATTCCTATCCATCACTATGATCCACAATGGACAACCTCACAAAAAGTGAAGGAGGTTGGGTGCACGTTTTCGACCAAACCAAAGACGTGTCTTCTTACCTTCGGCAAATGGCTCCCACTCATAGAAACGGCCCATAAATGGCTTGTTGTTATACGATGCGCACTGCACTTCTCTGATGTTTCTGTTCTCAAGGCAGGCCTGTTAAATAAATTGTGGGAAAGATACATTAACCACGTTATTTAGAATTTAAAACAGAGGTCTCCAACCTTGGCAACTTTAAGACTTGTGGACTTCAACTCCCAGAATTCCTCAGCCAGCTTTGCTGGCTGAGGAATTCTAGGAGTTGAAGTCCACAAGACTTAAAGTTGCCAAGTTTGGGGACCCCTTGTTTACAAGGATCAGAGCAGTCCTCTGGTTTAAAAACTTAAAATAATCCAACAGAAAATCCTAAATAATCTTCCATTTGCCATGAATGAACCAAATGACCCATCGGGGAACTGAAGATGCTAATGAACTCCCATTTCAGTCAGGACACTTTTTAAACATTGGTTAAATGCTCATCCTTCCTAACCATGATTAGTTTTATATCCATTGAGTGAGCAACCTTTTCCAGATTCTCCAAAGCCAATAGTCCAACATAAATGGAATAAAATAGAATCAATTTGGAAAACAGATCCAAAAAGAAAAAGAAAATATCTATCTTTGTTTATCCTGGAGCCCCACTTAGAGCATAATGGAGAAGAAATGACCTTGTTAGATTTGTTGATCATTTCTGAAATTCTCCTAAGTTTCGGGGCCATGGTTATTTTGAGCAAATTCTTTCAATAAAGTCACATACTTGGCTATTTATTCAGCTACAGCCGCACTTTCATAAAATATGCTTTCTAAAAATCCATCCAAAAACCCCTTGTCTCTGAAGTCGTATTTATAGAAAATGTATGTAATGCATGAGGCTTTTGGTTCAAAGAAAAACCAAGTGAAACGTTATTTCCATTGGACAAAATCCGGCTGAAAGTCTGAAGGTTTTCACTTATTAAGGAGTAACTTTCTGGCTCCTCTGCTAATTGCATCAGACAAAGCTGTAACATTACTATGACCACGACTACTACTAATATGGATATAAATATATGGAGACAGCAGAATAGAGGAGAAAGAATTGGAGAAAATCACGAAGTAAAAAGACTTGCGAGTAGAAATAGAATGACTGCAGCAAAAGAAAGCCAAGGTAGTATCAGTAGTAAGAGGCAGCTTGGGGTACAATCCCAAAACATCTGCAGCACCATTCAAACACTATCGGCATTGATAAAATCCCCATCAGTCAATTACAACGGGCAGCTTTACTCGGAACAGCTTAACGTCATCAAACATTCATATCTGGGAAGAACTTGATAGGTAGACAAAAATGCCAAACCCAGTCTGAACATCTGGCTGACCATGCAACGCACCACAATAAATGAATAAATTTCAATGTCATATAAGTTAATACAAAACTGGATGCCATATCCCCCCTCAAAATTGGATGGCACTTGGAAAAATCTGTCAGTTTCCATCTGTCAATTGCAAAATGTGATCCTGTTTGGATCTGCACATATCGTATATTCTACCAATATATAATGACATCCAAGATTCTTGGGAAAAACTTGATGAGAATGAATTGACAGCTGTGATTTCACATTGTTCTGCATAATAATAACATAAATACAAGCAAACACATATTCTATTAAAAAAGAAGAGGTGGGTTGTTTTCAAGCTGAGGGCTCCTACAATAAAATCTGAATGGAGAGCCATGAGTTTGGGTAGAAATCTAAGCAGGATGAGACCTTGTTAATTCTTGATTTCCCATTTTAGGGAATTACGGGGCTATAAGATAAAATGGCAACCTAAAAAAAAAAGACAATATTCAATCATTTCTGCCCCGTGACCAAGAAAATAAATGGATGCGCCTACATAGCGTTCAGGAGTTGAGTTCAACTCCAAAAAAAGCATAAGAACAGCCTTTAAAATGAGTACATTATGGATCCCCCAGGAAATTCCAAATGGAAAACTCTACATTCAAAGATTGTACAACCGCTTCTGCCAATCCTTCTGCTCTCCACAAAACAAATATTCTTCTAACGTTGACTGTCTGAGCGCAGTCCTTTCCCAAACACTGAATCACGAAGAGAAACGGCAGAAAAATCAGAATGTGGCTTCTTAAAACCTCCATGCAATTAAACCAACTTATAGACTTTTCCTAAGAGACGTTTCTTCAAATGGTGGATGAATTTCACATCCGGGCAGACCAGATGTTCAAGGAATCCTTCTTTAGATGAACTGACCAAAGAATCAAAGACGAGCTAGATTGTTTTATCATAATTTCAAAATTCTGCAAGTCGAAAAACAGCCAGTGCTCAGATCTTTGGGGAATTATGAAAGATATACAATATATGGCAAGAATGCATGAAGTTGGGGCTCCAGATAAGCAGAATCACAGGCTTGCTTTAAGTCCCACCTGGGATCTGATAAAATCCATGGAAGAACGTTGCCACAGGGTCATAGAACCATCAAAGAACCGTATGACAAAACACTGTTCCAATGCCTAGGTCCACTTGTACTCCAAACTTGGAACTTGGACTAATTCTTTCCACCAGAGGAGAGGAAACAACCCAACATTCTAAAAGTGACCCATGGATCCTTTGGGATATTGATCCCGCTTCTTCTGCTGGCTTCTGACCCATATGGTCCTCTGAAAATAGTTGGCTGATTTCAGCAAGAAATCTTGGCTTAGTCAGTTGGGATGGGATGTCGTAAGGAGGGAGAGACTGTAATCCAGAAGAGGAGGAGACAACTCAGCTGAGATACCTTGGAATGGTACGGGAGTAAGAATGGATTTCCAGAAAAATGGCAGGCCAGAGGAACCATTTGTGCTTCAGTTGGAGGTGGAGACAACACAGACACATTCCCAACAGCCTACGCCTGTGTACAACAGTGAAGGGACTCGGAGCAGAAAAATATCCTGCAGCCAAGAAGGTTCTGCGCCCATTTGCGCCATTCAGGTGACCCTGAGAACATGGGGAAACTTCCAAGTGGCCTCAATGACTCCCAGAAAGGATGAAAATGACCAGCCGTTTGCAAGACGTGTAAATCCTTTCATCTCCCACCATCCAGTCAGAGCTGAAGAAGCTTCTGGGATGAGAAGCGAAACGTCTTCAAAAGAAAAAGCAGAAAGTCCAGTTGCCTCTGGGGGGGTTGGAGAAACACCTTTGGGACAACCATGATTTGAACAACCAAGAATCTCCATAGACTCAGCCCAGATATTATATGTGAGGGGGTGATGACAGCTCCACGTGTCTAATTGCATTTGGTTTGTCCCCGTTTGGATCTATTTGGGTTCTCAATGCTATTGTTTTTTTTGATCCAGCAAGGAAACGAATGGACAATCCTAAGCCCATTATACATTGTTCTGGAACTCAACCAGCAGCCCGAGCCTTCTATGTACCACGACGACTTTTTTTCCCTGCAGGGACACATCTGGCAAGCCACAACATTTCCATCTATTTTTGCAGCTCTTTCTGGATACTTTTATTTGCTTTAATTATTCCATCCCCTTCCAGTTGAGCATCCCACTGGGCCCTATTTATCAACTGGTGACTGATCAGAATGGCTCTTGCCCTGCACCGAACACAACTTCAAGTGTTTCTAAAACAATGGACAATTAATCTTAGTTTAAAAGAAAAAAAGAAAACCCCCGTCACCCTTCCAGAAAGCCTCGATCTTTTAAATGTGTTTTCAGAAGCATGTAAACCAAACCTTCTAAGCCGAAACTGTATAGGATCCAACGTGTCATTCATGAAAAATGAGTTCTGCTCTGCATGAAAAAAAACATTAAAACTATAACCGCAAGGAAATGACCTAATGGAGAAAAGCAGATCGAGTTAATTTGTTATTAATTAACTGCTCCAACCAGAATCCATGGGGGGAAGTGACCCAACACTACAATTCCAATTAAGAGAGTCCTTCCGCACCCCCACCCCTCCGATAAATTATATTAACCAAGGAGAATGTTCCAAATAAAAGAAAAACTTGGTGTTCCCTCCATGCTAGAAGGAACTCTTAAAATATTTCGGCTAATAAATTAAATTACTGCCTAAATGTATGTTCTGGGAGATCATGGAGAAGGTGGATAAACACCGTAGATTTTCCAGGGTCCGGTGCGAGCCCACCTTCCTCTCTTTTTATGATTTGGTGTTTAAACTATTCATCTAGGGCACAGTGAGGTCATGATCCCCGACTGGGGAGCAGCTGAATGCAGGATGGTTTGCCCCAGAACTATTTCCTTAAAGATGTTTTTAATAAGGAAGAAGAGGGTAGGGCGAAGAGGAGACAGAAAGGAGCTGTGTTCCCTTGGAAAAAATAAAAATAAAATAGAAAATCTGTATATTACACAGGTAAGAAGAAGGGTTGAGAAGATAGCTGTAGAGCCCTCACATCCTGGACATAAGCTATTTCAGCTCTTTCCCTCAAGATGGCGCTATAGAGCACCATATGCCAAAAGAACTAGACACAGGGATCGTTTTTTCTCTCCTGCCATCGCTCTGCTAAACACCTAATTCCAGTGGTGGGATTCAAAAAACAAATTACTACCGGTTCTGTGGACGTGGCTTGGTGGGTGTGGCAGGGGAAGGATACTGTAAAATCTCCAGTCAGAGGTGGGATTTGCCGGTTCTCCGAACTACTCATAATTTTTGCTACCGGTTCTACAGAACCGGTCAGAACCTGCTGAATACCCACCTCTGTCTAATTCTCATCATATACTGTCTGAGGTCTATGTATATTTACCCACATAGTATCACTGTACCATTATTCTTATCTTCTTTACTTCCCCCTTTGATTGGTACAGCTAGTCCTCGACTCACAACGATCCATCTAGTGACGGTTCAAAGTTAGGATGAACACTGAAAAAAGTGACTTATGACCATTTTTTTCACAACTACGACCACTGCAGCATCCACGGGGTCACGTGGCCAAAATTCAGACGCTTAGCCACTGGTTTATATTTATGAGGGTTCCAGTATCCCAGAGTCCTGTGGTCTCCTTTTAATGACCAGCAAAGTCAACGGGGAAGCCACCATCGCTGTACAACTCGTGTTAGCTATTTAACAACTGCAGTGATTTGCTTAACAACGGTGGCAGGAAAGGTCGTAAAACGGGGCAAAACTCACTCAACTCCCTTTTGGGCTCAGTTGTGGTCGCAAGTTAAGGATTATTATTATTATTATTATTATTATTATTATTATTATTATTATTATTATTATTATT